AAAAATAGTGTAGGTAACTATCTAGGCTTCTATACGACCTTGTACAGACTTTTGGAGCTGAGAGCTCCGTGGGAGTGCTTCCACTTGCATCATATAGCGGCCTCAACATTTAGAGTAGGGTTTTGGGGGTGTACTATGTTTTACAGTACATAACTCTATAGGGACCATAGGGTACTATCAGCATTCGCCATCCCGAATCCGAACCCGATATTCAATTTCATGGCGACTGAATGTGCAAATCATTGCCGCTGTAAGCATCAGCTTGAAAGGTCCCAAGACTACACCTCCAGAAATCGCGCAAGAAATCCTATCAGCAACAGAAGCAGTATTTTAGCACTGTCGGTTCTGCTCATCTTTCTCGTTTCTGTTGGGGTAAACTGCCCGACCCGAACTTCAAGAGAGCATCCCAGCCGAACCCACTCTGAACCAGAAGTAGGGCGGCTCCTGCTCCTCGACGGAAGGAGTCGTGTCATTGCAGCGCAGCCTCAAGCTCAAGGTCTGTCTAGGGTGTAGGTCCAGCTTAGGATCTAGGCTTGAGTAAGAAGTCAGCCGATTTGCTGATACTTATTTCTTTAGGGTTTAGGGTCTAGGGCTTAGTGTTGCTGCTTATTTCAAAATTAGTTCATTGCCTTTGTATGGACTCCTGAGTTTCGAGTTTCTGCCGTTACTGAACAGCCGTCGTATTGCTTCATTCTTGGTTGCGAGGCGCAGTGTTGGGCACTCGTTTCGCTCACAAGTAACGGCTTATTATAATTGTAGTATGATGGGCCCCAAAACCCTATTCCAATTATAAAGGCCCCTCTATTGGGAGGGGTCAGGCAAACTTTCTGGATCCAAGGTCCTGAACCCTGAACTCCGAATCGAAACTACTGTAGGGGCCGTAATAATTAGGATCAGGTTTCGGGCTCCTTTATAGCGTAAGTATGAAAAGAAAACCCCCAAAACCCTATTCCAATCATTAAGGCCCCTACAATAGCTCCTTTATAGTGTAATTGTTATAAGGAACACCCCAAAAACCCTGTTCTAATTATGAAGGCCCCTATACTACCAGTCTTCCACAAGCAGCAGACAGGACGAGCCTCAAGGGCTCGGAGTTTACAGGTTCATAAGCAGGCCCCGAAGATGACAAGCCCACCAAGCCAAGGGCATATAGGGTTTGCCTGAACCCCAAATAACCTACAGTTTTTGAGGACTTATATTATAAGGAAACCATAATAAGGAATCCTGAATCCCAAATCACCTGCATTTTTTAAGGACTTATATTATAAGGAAAGCATAATAAGGAATCCAAAAAAAAGGTAGGTTGTTTGGGGTCCAGGTAGAGTCTCGTGCAGTTCAGGGCTTAGGGTTGTATGCGAGCTGAGCGGCGCCTGCTCCCGAATGCGATCCAGCTTCGCCTCTGGGGAACACCGGCTAGACTGCTACACTGACTGAACAAGCATGGCAGGCGTGCCGCTCCGATGGCGAATGTTGACGATGTTCATCTTTACCTATAGTTTCCACTATAGGAGTTCCTTTTTGGTTTAACCATGTTTGTATTCAGGATCCTACAAAGTAGCCCCAGAAAGCGAACTACATTGTAGACCACCATAAAGGCCTTAATAATTAGAACAGGGCTTGGGGTATACTAAACTGTAATTACAATAAGGAACCCCGAAAACCCTATTCTAATTATTATTCCCCCTACATGAGAGGTAGAATTGAAGATCCACAGGTCGATTCTTTACCCTCTGCCGGCCTTGAAGAGGTCGCGGGCCTGGCGAAGGTAGTTCCCGAGCTTCCTGGCATTTTCGGCTTTTTTTGGATTTAGGATTCACGGGTTTAGGGTTTAGGGTTCGGCGGGGTTTTGGGGTTCAGGAGTATCTAGAGTTTAGGGCTTTTTCTGTTTCGGGGCCGCGGGCCGCTGTGGGGCATCAAGAACGGGGTTGTTTCGCTAAGCTGACTAGAGTGAGTCTGAACTGAAGTTCGCCCTAACCCCTAGAATCCAAAGAGGTCCGTGCGAAAGGTAGTTGTTTGCTTTTCGTTCCGGTCTGAGTGGCGAAGACCAAAGCCTGGCAGAACAGTCATCTGGGTTGTGCTTAAGGAACTCATTATGAGTCTATAGTAACGAAATCCTGTTATTTACTGTAATTAGATCCCCGTTATTGTAACTTTAAGTACCTTTCTCAAGCAGCAACCCAGTCATTAGTACAGCATCGCCTGCAGCAGTCAAGTTGCAAGGGTTTCAGGCGATTTAGGGCATATGATTCAGGGACAAAGGCTTCGCGTCGTGTTTTGCATTTGGTTTTTCGAAGTTTCGGGTTGATCGCAGCCAGGGTTCAGAGCTTAGGGCATAGCGTGAGTTCTTGGGGCCGAAGTTCTGATTTTCAGATGCTATACTTCCATGAAGGTTGCCTGGCCCAAAGCCAAAACTTTAAACAGCTGTCAACGAGTAGTATTACAAGTTACATGCCATGCATCATGGGATATGAACCCACGGAAACTCCAAGAAAAGGTTTCTGCCGAACTCCGAAAGCAAGACCCTTACCCTGAGGCCAAAGGGTCCAAGTAGTCCCTATTTATGGTTTTTGGCAGGGACTTGGGGTTATGAAGCATCAATGGGGGGCGCAGAGATTTCTGTAGTTCCGGGCCTTGTCGAGCGTGAGATGAAGAGCTTCAGGCAAAACCCTAAACCCTAAAAAAACCCTAAACCCTAAACAGAGGCGCTGCAACGCTGTAGGGATCTTCTTGAGTTTCACGAACGAACATGTTGCAACGGTCATCGGCCAAGTGGCGGTCGTCTGATGTCTGGTGGCATTTGGCACAAGGCATGTGGTTCCGGAAAGGTTGCCTGCATGCATCTTGCGGCCGACATTCAGCAAAAGCCCCGAACACCAAAACCCTATGCCTGCCAGACTGTACTATAGAGGCCTTGATAATTAGAAAAGAGAGGACTTTGGGATTTATTCTGCTGTAGTTTACAATACGGACCCCACATCTATAGTATTGGTAATTGTTCAGGCGCCCTTTGTTTGGACGGTGCCTGCGACCAAACTGTGCTCCGGCTTTATGCAATGCAGCTGTAAGTGCCGAACATGTGTAATTGAACGGGGTTTAGGGTTTAGGGTTCGGGGAATGCAGAGCCATTACATCAATGTTGCGGAATATGCAACCACACTTGGGCAGTGCTCTGTGTAGAAGATGCACCATACTCAAGGACACGATTTCAGGTTTCGGGCTTAAGTCTAAGTTTAAGGCTATTCTACAGCTGAAACCTGTTCAAGCACCGTGCAACGACTCCACGTCTCCCACACTTCGGCTGCGTACATTGTGCATTCAAGGCTGGGGCTGCGTAGAGCCACATCAATCTAAGGTTGAACCCATGGGCCCCTAACATGGGCCCTTAGGGGATTCTAGGGTCCCTTAAGGGTATATGTAGGGTATGTATATAGTAGGTATACTAGGGTCCCAGGGTTAAGGACCCATACTAGGGGCCCATGGGTTCTACCTTAGAATCAAACCCTCCCAAGTACTCTATTAAGCACCGGAACCTGTGAGCTCCATATATCTTAAACCATAAAAACTATACATTTTGAACCGGCAGACATATCCTTGCGCACTTTTGGCCGATCGGCCTTCAAAAGACTCTACAAGTACGGCTGTCAAACCGAAACCGTAATTTCCAAACATCTTTTCCAAATATGATAAGCCCGTTGAATCATCAAGCTATCATCCCAAAGCTCTCAATCCCAACCAAAGCGACCCTAAGCCCTAAATCAAGAGCTGTGAATCCCAAAGTCCCTACTCAATCCCATACCCTCAACACTGCATCCTCGATCTGCCTTGTATCCCTGAAACCCAACGTGTTATATAAAACTCCTAAAAGCATTACTGCTTTTATAAAGCACTACTGGTGTATAAAACGCGACAGCCTTATGAAACACGACGGGCCTGCAATCCGAAAGCTCTCCGATCCTGGTCAAAGCCCGCCTGACCCAAGGCCTCAATTAAAGGGGGCCTAATGATTAGAATAGGGTTTGAGGTATATTCTACTATAGCTATAATAAGGAGAGGGGCCTTAGTTTAATAATTAGAATAAGGTTTGGGGTATATTCTAAACAGGTATAATATTATAAGGAACCCCTAAAAAACCCGATTCTAATTATTCAGGCCCCTACATTACTGCCAAAGGTCCTAGGGCCCGGTCTGGAACTTTGCGCTAGGTGCCCCTCAGGAGCCCCGTAGTAGCAAGAGTACCCCTGTTCCTAAGATTTGTTTTTGTTTTTAAGGAGGCCCCCCAGGGTACTACCCTCCATCCCAAGCAGAGCCACTAAACCCTAAACCCTGAACCCTAAACACCTAAACCCTAAACACCTATATCCCTGAACCCCTCAACCCTAAACCCCTAAACCCCTGAACCCCTAAACCCCTAAACCCTAAACCCGATGCGAACCAGCAAGCCCAACTCTGGCACGGTGCCTGGGCGGTCGCATACTCCAGGCAGGCCGTACGGTGGGCCCGCCAGATCGCGTTACTCGGCAGCTTGGGAGTTTTCTTGGGGTTTTAGGCTTTATGGTGTAGGTTTTGGGTTTTGGGTTTAGGGCTTAGGGTTTAAGTCTGTAGGGTTTAGGCTTTAGGCTTAGGGTTTTGGGTTTATGGTGTAAGTCTTTAGGGTTCAGGGTTTAGGCTTAGGGTTCGGGGCATTGGGTTTAGGGTGTAAGTCTTTAGGGTTTCGGGTTTAGGCTGAGGGTTTTGGGCTTGGGGTTTAGGGTTTAATGTTTAGTGTACCGGTGGCCAGTGGCCGAACTTAATTCACTGCCCAAGGCCAGGGTACGTGATTTGCAGCTTGAGGTTGGGGCCTTTTCTCAGGCTTAGGGTTTAGGGTAATGTCGGGGCCTCAATAATGAGAATAGG